CACAACTTAATATCCGAAATAAGTTTGGTAAAGACATCTAGATTTTTCTCAATATCCCTAGACATATCTAGTCTAAATTTGAAGAATTTCTCAAGTAAAAACATCCAGTTAGGCAAAGAGGTTTCAGTATACAGTTCATTCAAATTATCCCACAGAATTTTAGCATTCTCTAAAATTCCAACTTTTCTAATCACAGAGTAAGATAAGTTCAAATAAATCACAGAACATGCATTTTCATTCATTTCAACCTTTTTATCTTCAGTGTTAGAAATTAAATAGGTTTCACCAAATGCTTTAAAACATTTTTGTTGGATTAAAATACATTTAACTTTTTGCTTCCAAATGCTAAAATCATATTTTCCATTAAATGGAGTCATACCATAGTGATTATAAGCAGACATTTTCACATAGAAAAACAAGCAACAAAGGAAAATGTGAATTTCGCTGAAAAACAATTTAAATATTTATATGGCTATCAATATACGAAGCAACTAGCACGAACATGCGGGGAGTATCAATGAGCACCAAACTCAAGTTCAAACCCCTTGTTCTTCCGTTATAAGCACAAATAAATAATAAATTTTCAGCACAAAACAACACAACAGTTCTATCAATTTTAAAAACAGTATAAACCTAAAACAAGAATTTCTACACAATAAAGACTAAAAAATCACTACAAAAGTGATAAAAAATGTTTAAAGTCAATATACCAGAGCGAAATCCTAGGAGAGACGTTTCGACCTTACCCACCCAATTAAAAAATTGGGATTTTTTCGGACCATTGACTGCCTTTGACCAGTGTTGACCGAGCTTTGACCAAGTTGATCAAGCAGTTGACGGAGTCTATCCTCTGCTCCAGGTCCAGCTCCAAGTCCAGTTCCAGTAGGTCAGCAGCCTAGCTCCAGCGGAATAGCCTAGAAGCCCAAAATCAGCAGTCCAGCATTGCGTAGCCCAAATCCTCTGTCAAGCCCAAGCTCCAACGTCCCATCAGCGACAATATCCTTCCTCCGTGCTTCACGTGTCACTGCTTCGAGCCAGAGATTCAAGAACAGACGCTAGCTTTCTGCGTCCAGCGAAAGGACATCAACAAAACTCAGCCCTGCGTCCTTGCTCTTCCCTGTGTCAAGCCCTTACGTTCAAAATCCCATATGCGAGCAACGAACGAGCTCTGCCTCTGCGTCAGCATCAGCCTCATGAACAGGCTCTGGATCCGAAATCCGGCCTCAATCTTCGGCGGCGAACTGAGCTCAGTAACCCATCGTCGAGCGGAAGACGACGGAGGGCCCAAGCGACTTCGACAGCGGATTTCCCTGGCAGCTATGGCAGGGATTCAAATTCCGGCGAGCTGTGAGCACCTAGCAGCTCAAGCGAAGCTTTAATCGATGACGGCGACCTCGAACGACGACGGACGGCGGCGGGCAGCGGAACTTAGCGAAAACAACGGCGAAGGCAGCCCACCTGTCTCTGATACCACTGTTGAGGATTGATTCTTTTCCGGCTCAGGTTTCCAACATCCACAATAGCTCACACACACCACTCTAGACTAGACCACAATGCCTCACCAAGCTTTATCTCCAACCACTAAGGTACCTCTCTCAACTCACACACAAAGAAAGGAGAAGAAGAAGAAGAGCTCTGCTCTCTGGTTTAACATAAGGCTTCTAACAACTCACGGGTAACACCAAGCCAAAGAGACAGATTGATTCAATATATGTGTGTACGTGTGTACTGTGTGTATAGATAGATCCATACTCTCTGTGTATTTTTGTAATTACTGTGGTTTGGAAATATTTATGGGATAATTCTCTAACTAAGAGTAAAACATAACTAAAATGCAAAAATAGGAGTTAATGTTTTCGTATGCTCTAATAGGAGTAAAAATACATGGACTGACAATAATACCCTTAATGAATTGTCTGCTTCGTACATTAAAAATGAAAAAGTGAATAACAATGTAGAGTAATACATTAAGTAATGGTAGGTCATGTGTTGCAGCCTTGCAGGGACTTGCAGGGACTTGCAGAGTGCTATGTGTGACTACGCTGCCATAAGTCGCGCCACCACCCATAGCCGGACAAACCGCTGCAGCTGCCAGACGTTGCCGCCGTTGCGAGACGTCGTCGCCGCCGCCACCAGACGTCGCCGTCGCCGTCGTTGCCAGACGTTGCCGCCGTGCCTGTGCCGCCAAACATCGTCGCCACCTTCTCGGGTCTCCACCAACCCTGAGCCGTGTTGGTGCCGTCAAATTGCTTCGCCGCCAAGGACTCCACCACCACCGCCGGATCCTGTGTCATTGTGATTTCGTCCGGCGCCACACATGCTGCTTCCGGCGTCATCACCTTTGATTCCACTACAGCAAATCTCATATCTGGAGAGAATGTTATAAAATGCCATCTCATCATTTTAATGTCATCTTAATGATGGCATTTATATTCAAACAAAACATCATTTATTTTGCCATCATCGTTATTTTCATGATTATTTTCATGATTTATATGAGTTTAGTGCCAAATAAATGGCACTGCGGTCTGCGGGAACAACAGACACACATAAAACATGGCACTAAACATATTGTATTTGGCACCCTAATGTCATAAATTGACACTATTTGCCTAAATAACTTTTCACATGAGAAATATGGGATTATTAATGTCATAAATCGGCACTATGTGCCTAAAAAATTTATTTTGCACATATTGCCATTTTTGTTTACCTAGTGCCATATAATAATAATATTTGTTGAAATGTCATTTTCGCAATAAATATTAATATGCGTGATATTGTCATCTTGAAATGGCATTATTTTTTAAATTGGCATTTTACAGATTTAAAATGGCTAAAAAACTAATATCATATTTTAAAATAAATAAATTCAAAATTGATTACAAGTTCAAAGTTAGATCTGAAATTTTGGAGATAATCAACTTTTTGGAGCCTCTAATTTTTCTACCCCAAAATTCAAACCTAAGTTTCAGAATTTCCATTTGAATCTGAAAAGTAATAAAAACAAATATAGAAATTCAAGTGAAAAAGAAGAAAAGGAGAAAAGAGAAGAAAAGGAGAAGAATGAGAAGGTGGGGGAGGAAGATGAAGAAAAGAAAGGAGATATTTACCGGAAAAGATCGGTACATCTGGATTCGGAAGACGTTGTCGGAGTTGCGCCGCCGCTAGTGACACGAGGCTGCCGCCGAAGTCACGTTGCTGCCTCCCAAGTCATGCCGCCGCCGCTGGAGTAGGATATCCGTTCTTTGTTTCTCGGTTGGAGGTGCAGAAGAGAATTGAAGAGATGCGAGAGGGGAGATCGAGAAAGTGGAGAGAAGGGGGAAGAGAGAGATGGGAGAAAAGAGAAAAAGAGGGGAGGGTGTTGGATGGTGTTTGGTGCGTGTCAAAATAAGAGGGGTATTCTGGGTAGGATTGAAACTACCACTCCTACTTTGGGAATTAATAAAAGTATACTCTTATTTTGGAATTAGCCTTATGTTTTACTCCTAAATGGAGCAATTTCCGAATATTTATCTATATTTGAAGTACTATTATTTTACTAGTGAATTATGTTATGAGAATATTTTATAAATATTGTTTTACTTATGATTGATATAAATGTTATGAAAAGATTTTTCTCCAAAATGTTTTACAAAATTATACTATCGTATATATGGTGGGGTAAGGGGAGGGTCGGATGTACGGAGTCTTACTTGTACTAAAGCACAGAGAGACTGTTTCCGGATGAACCATGGTGAAAATTGCGTCGTAAATTGCATGAGTTGACTGTTGCTTCATAATAAAGAAGCGCAACCAGTTTAGTGAGTCACTTTATTTTATTTCATTTTATTCACAAGCCAAAAAATAGTGAATCTTTGGCTCCATTGCAAATGATGGAAGTGCCTGTATATATAAGGTACTAATTCCCACAAAAAAGCTAGAGAAATAAGGTGAACCTTTTTTGTTTTGCAGTAAACAAGATCATTACAGAAAACTTGTTTGTCAATTGTGATGCTCAACAACCATGCAACCATCCGGAATTACTGCAGAACACAAAGAATAGAGAACCTCTTACATGCCCAAGTCCAGATTGTACCTCCGCATGCCAAAATAAACCTATGTGACTATGTCTACCAATTCAACTGTATGTTGGCCCAGTAAGGAAGAAAGTGGCATACCATCTTGTTATTGTCTAATATTGGTTGCAATAGTCAGGCTGTTCAAGAGGTGTCTCCGCATACTAATACACTAATCGTCACTCTCATAATAACAATTATTATGAATATGTTATATTAAATACGTAGTATGTAGTATTTTAACTACAAATATATGCTTTTGTGAACAATAATGTGTATTGTTTTGGAGCGTTCTAATTCTTACGTTAATGAGTGTTTTCGCTAGAATCAGACTACTTTTTTTCCGGGACCGGACTATATAGACGTGAGAGAGAGAGAGAGTTATGATGAAGTTATGAATGAGTTATGAGTATTTGAAATCCGACCATTATCGAAACAAAAAAGGTATCTATAATATAACCTTTCAGTTATTTTAACCATATGTTCTATGCTGATATACTGACTGTCACGATTCAGTGTTTCACTCTTTGTCAAGAGAGCATTCACAACTTTATCAACCCTCATTAGTTCTTCAGTATCAAACTGTGTTTCTCCAAACACTCCAGCAGTTTCAATGCCATCATTTGACAATTGACATTCATTTCTCAGATGGTGTTACAATGAAGTGCAAGTCAAAACTTCCCATATCAAAATATCAAATTGTGTTCTATCATGAGGTTTTGATTTAGTTGGCTTCTCTATATCTGGATTTATATCTCTCTGACCATTGTAATCGAGAAAATCTTTACATAAGATGAAAACATATATAAAATGCACAAATAGGACTACCACTTCTTCTTACTAACATAGAAATCTTTTAGTCCTAGTTGAGGGAGTTTATACGTTTAATTGGATCCAAAAGTCCTATTTTTGGAATAAAACATAACAACTTCTATTTGTACACTTTATTCCTGTTTTTAATTCTATTTGGAACAATTTCTTAATCATGTTTCACTTCCTGTGTAACTGCACCAGATTCGATGTATTTCTCTTGTCCATATGATCTTCTTCTCGTCATTACCTTTTTAAGAACCATTTTCTTCTTTCTTGTGTTCTGTTTCTTATCGTCATTGCTTCCTTCTTTGTTCTCTTTGGTTCGATCTTTAAAATATTCCCCTTCTTCACAATATTCTTTCTCAAAATCCTCCTCTTCAGAATGTCTAGTATCATCATTTCTTCATTCCTGATTCTCTTTGTTTTCATGTCCAAAATCTTCCTAATCTACAAGACTACAACATCTTCATCAGCATCATCAACTTTTTCTTCTTTCATCTCTTCTTCATACAATTCATCATTATCAGCATCATAACTTCTTCCTTTGTGGACTCGTCTTAATTCTGAATCTGCATCACTTTCAGATTCTTCTGCTCTCTCGCCTTTTCTTCTCAATTTTTTGCTATTGCTTTTACTTGCTAAATCTTTTCTTAGAAGTGGCACCATCTCTTCAAGCATATTCTCACATTTCTTTTCAGTAACTTTAATGACATCATCTCTTCAAGCATATTTTATTGATCTTGATTTCCTGCACTTCAAGCAAGTTCTTTATTGACAATCTTTATATCATTGTCATTTGCAAACTAACCTTGTTTCCAAAATTGTTTTCACTCTGAGATTATGTCTGAACTTGTCGTTGCAGCTTTTTGCTGTTTTTACCAGTAGAACTTGCTCTCTTCAATCAGTTTTTCTTAAACTTGTGGCTGCTCTTTATATGATCTTCTTGTAACTAAATTAATTGGATTTCCTCCTTCTATCATTTCCACTTTCCTAAACCATTCTCTGCACAATTGCATTCATATTCGGATCAACTTCATTGAATTCATTTATGTTTCTCCAAATTTCTATAATATTGGGATCTTTGACTCTATTAATGTTGGAGCAATAGGTATGAACTCAAACTATTAGTAATGATCATGTCCATCCGGATGGACATGACCTTCTGTCTAGGCCCTGCCGTTTGGGGTTGTTCCCATTGAATTTTTTGAACATGTTTTTCATGAAGTGTAGATTGTTTCTTCAAAATTTTAGTTTAAAATTCAATCGGAAAGTACTTTAAATAAATTATTGCAAAACAATGCGCCATATATCTAAGAGCACAGTGTTTTCAGTAATTTATCTAACTGACTTCCTAATTGAATTTTAAGTTGAAATTTTGTGCACATATTCTAAACTTTATGAAGAATAAGTACAAAGAAATATCGTCAAAAAATTCCGACAGGAATCAACCTAAATCGGCTGGGTGGAGTATCTTGTTCGAACGGGAGGACAGGATATTTTCCGCTTAAACTATATAAATAAATACAATCATTGAAATTAATTAAAGTTTCTTTTTGGAATGATAAAAAATTAAAGTTAATATCATATAATTGAGTTTAGCGTTAGTATGTTATTACTTTTTCATTTTCAAAAATATTTTCTGACACCATCTTTGAAGGTTTTTTGTTAAAGACCACCTGATTATTGTTGGAACTGCATCATTTCTCTCCTTAATGGCTTAAAAATTGCTCTTTGTGCACACTCTTTATACCCACTACTACACACTATAAGAGGAAAAAAGTTATCATTTTTACCCCCTCCCAACGTGCCCAGACAGCCCAAAAAATATTTCGCTCGGCTTGTCCGATCCTCTCCTCTCTTCTACGTCCGTTACTGCTGTTTTTTTCATTCTTCTTTTGAAGCAAGGAGTTGACCTCTTCAATAGATTCTCCCTTCAATTTAGAGCTCGTGCGGTGACCCTGTTTATCAATATATCAGTTTTATGAGCCAACTTTTCACCAAATATACAACTTCTAATTTTAAGCGTTGAATTGTGTATTAATGAAAATAAGTAAGATTGAAAATAACTTTTTGGCTGAATTGGTTAAAGTTAGTGGATATTTCAACTATTTTAAAGATAATTTTTTTTATTAATAAAATATATTTTAAATATATGGTGTCAGCCAACAACTTGGTTGGTTAGGAACTGGACTTATGATGATAGAATTTATCTATTTTTCCTTGCCCTTTCATTTTGGGCTTTCCAGTTATATGAAAATGAACAACCTCAAGTTTTTTTGAGGAATTGCGTGGGAGACTTGCTTGCTTAAGTCAAAAGTCTTTTCTACTTAAGTCTGCATTGCACCCGGAAGCTTTTGATAAACAACACTCAATTCCTTTCTTAAACCAAATTGACTTCCATCAATTGTTAGAGCAACTGAGCAAGCAAGAGATTCCTCTAATGCATCTTTCGAAAGGAAAAGATCGACTCTTCCACTTACTAGACTTTCCTTCCTCATGTACTCTATTTTTGTGTATGTAATATTTGCCCATTACTAACTTGGCATATATAGTGGCCATAGGCTTTCATACGTAGACTACAATTCATCAGATTTACACATATGTGTTGTAATTATAATAGTAGTAATATTAATTAAACTTTGTGTAATGTAGTCGTTATATAACTCTGGTGGAAAAACAAGCGGGTCCAAGTCAATAGAGGAGGGTTTATCAAGAAGATGAAGGCATTATGAGACAGGGACGCAGGGGGACTATAGCTGAGACAGAGAATAGTGGTACAAAGGAGGAGGATAGAAGCAGTGCAGGGGAGGTATCGGTTGATCAGAAGCGCATGAGAATCTGGAAGGATCCGACACAGGAAGACATAGCAGGAGAGGAGATGGCACCGGACAAAGCGAAAAACGGGAAGGAGGCGGGTCTGAGCTTTTAGATCCACTTGCCGTGTGCATGAGGATGTTGCTGAAGAAATTTCATTATGGTGTTTATTTTATTATTGTTTTGCATTTTAAATTCCACGTTAAGACTATTAGCTTTGGTTTTTGTTATGTTTGGATATGTAAGACTCTTGCATTAGGATTGGGTGACGAGAGTTCTGTAGTAACCATTGTTGGCTCAATTATGCCTAGTTTAGGATCAGCGAGTTATATTATTTTTCCAAAGGTGATTAACTCTGAGTCTGGCCCAAGGGCGGATGGTTACTGGTGGTGCTTTTGTTATTTTAGACCCTTTCTGAATGCTTTAATTTTAATCTAAGCCCCCCTTCTTCCAAAAAATAAATAAAAATAAAAAATTCGGATTTGAATGGAATCCCATAAAAAAAGTTATGGCTCATGTGAAAGTGTGAGCTGGCTTAGGTGACCAGCTTATTTTGCTCCAGTTATATTTTGCTCTACTTCTCAATTTATTAAAAACATAAATGTTATCATTATTACAAGAGTCGTACACCCTTCTTACTTGATGGATAATATAGGATCCAAACATATAATAATAGGAGACATTGAGCAAGAGAGGTGAGGAAGAAGATGAATAGTGTTCAATGTGTAATATTGGTTCTAGGGTTACAAGAGGCTCCAAGAGGAGTATAAATAGGGAAATCAGGGTCTGGGCCTCTAATATGGACCCGACAGACCCGGATACTTAAATGGACTGATAATATAAAAGACTAATCTAATAGATAAAAATACAAATTGGACTGTACAATAATTCAAGTAATATATGTAATGCGTGTGTGATCCGTTATTCCGTTATCCAGGCTCAATAGTCGTGAGACCCGAGGGTCCAAGTCTATATACTCTATCACTTATCCATAATTATTTAATGTAAATAATCCAAGATAGAATTTATAAATTAATTTCCATCAAACCATCAAGAAAGAATATCATTAATAGCGAATCTAAAGACTAAACACACAGGGGAAACCGGAAAAGCATTTCATATAAAAAGTAGTAATGTATTTGGTGCGATGTATTGCCAAATAGTCGTACGCAAAAGCCTTTAGACTCTTTTTGGTAAACAAAGCTTTAGACTTTGGTCAATGTAGCTGTCTTCCAATTTAAAATGCAAGTCTTTTCCTCCAAAAATAAAAGCTACTCCAATTTTATACGGAGTAATAAAGATGATATAAACTCTATCAAATTATCCTCCACTATCCTCCACTTTTCTACTTCCCCAATCCCCATTGAGGATATCTTCTCAAATTATACTTTTTGTGAAGCCAATCCCCACTAAAAATTAATCAAAAATACAAACCGCAAATAATAACACAAATATTAGTTTCCAAAATCATCAACAATTCAAATTCAAATATTAGCCTTGAAAGATATTCATCAATTACTCTTCCTCCTGCATTAAATGTAGTCTCTGATGCAACTGTCGTGATTGGAATAACTAGAATATCCGCAACCATCTTTGACAAAACCTTATACTTCATACTATTATTTTCCCACCACTCCATAGCACAAAAAGAGTTAGAATGAGTATCATGGTTAAATAGATTGCCCTTAAGATACACTTCGAGCTCAGATTTCGTCGGTGGTATTGCTTGCTTTTCGCGAACAGTGCGCATAATTTGCTCAAAGCCAGTGCCTGATCCAGAACATTGCACATTGGATGAAGATATGTTGACACTAGTCTCAGTTTCACCATTAGCAATCTCATCTTGGTTGCTTAATTCAACATATTCTTTGTAAAGAGACTCCAATGAGTCATAACCATTTCCATGTTCTTTTTAGCCACAGTTTCAGTTTTATAAATCAAAGGAAAACAATACTCCCTTCGTCCCGCAAAATAGTTCTCGATTTCCTTTTTGGGCTGTCCCAAAAAATAGTTCACATTTCCCCTTTTGGAAAGTTTTATGTGGCTCATATTCATTTACCTTTTTCTTACTTAACCACAACCATACATTTCCACTTTATTCTAACTTTCTTAAACTCCGATCCAAGTCAATGCGGGAACTATTTTATGGGACGGAGAGAGTAATTGACAACATGAAACTTGCACCTGGGATCCAAGACACTTGAAATGGACATCAATAGATTGCATTCTCCACAATATTTATCAAATTTTTCTTTCATTGCAGTTGTCGTTTCTCTCATGAATACGTCTGCATCTTCTGCCTCATGAATGTGTTTAACCCTCCAAACCTCAGGTAAGTACAAATTGGCAGTTGGATAATCACTGCAAGACATGACATATGACATTAGAGGCTGAATTGAAAACCTCTAACCCTGAATTGAAAACCTCTAACAATTGACAAACCTTCTAAACCTTACGCCATTCCTCGAGAGATGGATCATTATTATAATGTGGTTCTCTTTCCTTGTAAGCAGGGAACACAATCTTGAATCTTAAAGCACAGGCTAACATCTTAAAAGTTGAATTCCACCTTGTCGGGCAATCAAGGATGATCATTCTTTCTTTCAAATGGTTTTGCAACACAATATCAAAAAATGATTTCAATCTTGAATCATTGTAATTAATATACTTCACACTCTCTCAAATATTCTCGAATATTATGAATGGTATCTCTTATCTTACCGAGTCCAACTTGGACCAGTAAATTTAGAATTTAGAATATGAGGGCAACATCTTACATGAAACAACTTACCGTTAAGGACTAACTTATTATCGAGCAATAAGTCATCCTTAAGGTTCTTCACGCAAGAATCGTTGTACTTAGCATTATCAATTGATGCAGAAAATACCTTTTCTTCAATCCCCGAAACTTTAAGACATTTGAATATAGCATCTGCCACATCCACACCACGCCGAGGAGCAGGAACTTTAACAAAACTCAAAACCCTCTTTTGAAGATTCCACCCAGCATCAATAAAATGTTCAATTTACTCAGCTACTTGATGAGTTGATCTCCACATATCAGTAGTCAAGGAAATCTTGCTCAGAGATGTTAACAAAGTTTTTAAGACTTTCTTCTCTGCTTCATAAATTTTAATACAATCACTTCTAGCCGTTTTGCGACATACCTTGCAAAATTCAGGATTCGCAAATTGGAAGTCCCACATCCAAACTTCATCCTCAACAATGTTAAAAGGGTGCTCATGTACCATGATTGTTGTCGCAATGATTTCTCTCATCTTCTCATTTGAATATCTAATGCCTAGTGTCAAAAATGGATTGACTGCTGTAGCAGAGAACTGAAATGGAATGATGCATTGCTTCTTTTGTTTGGCTAAGTATAAACTCATTTTCAAGCAAATATCCTTGTGTCTCTTCAAGTGGCATGTGCTAGCTCCCTTCCCAGAGTAGGCAAACTTGCCACTCCTTTGCTAATCTCGATAAGTTCAAAGTCATCCCAAACATCTGATGTCTTCTTCCTTTTCCTGTGAATGTGAATAATAGAACTGCCTTGATTACCCTCATTTGTTTGGTCATTGTTGACTTCTTGTTGACTTGAATCAGTTGGTATTTGTGAACCAGATTCCATATCATGATTAGCACCACTTGAAATTGCTTCAATAATCTCTGCATTTTCTTGTGGCGAAGACATCATATAGACCTAAAAATGTATGTATATAAGAAATCACATTATGGTTTAATAATAAATTGAATCCAGAAGTAATAACAACCGCAATCAATTTGGAATCTTTAAGTCAAATACTTTGGATTCAAACTTGAAACAAAATTAAGTTTTCAAGATAAATTAAAAACAAATTTAATATCATCTCAAATTCTTTTGCAATCTTGAAATTTTAGTCAAGTATATTGTCTAAAAGCCAATTATAGTGGCAGCTGGAATGAAAGAAATGGTTTCCTTTGATCTGAAACATGAAAGTATTTTCTAAAAGTTGTCTTCTTTAAGAGAATGAAAGTTAATCTTCAAGCCAATGATAATGGCAGCTGCTAGTCAAGTCTTGTGTATATTTCTTTGGCATCTTCTCCCATTTCAAACATGATAATCTTTCCTTCTAAAGGGCAAATTGCCAAAGAAATGTACACAAGACAATGTTAATGAATAATGAGTGTCCACAAGTATACAGTGACAAGGAATTAAAGACAAATGATTAACTGATATTTGCAATAGACACCAACTGCAAAGGCTATTGCGCCACTATTCCCACTAATTTCTACTCACTTGACAAGGATGGCATTATGCCATGTGATGCTGTTACTAATTGCTGACTTTTCCCTTATAATATAGCAAAATAAGTATTGCAGAATATAAAAGATTTAGACATTTAGAGAGAATTTAATAAATAGGACTAAAAGGTAACACAAGGTTTCAAATAGGACCAACTTTGGTTTTTCCAGAGAATAACACAGTTAGCACTCAATCATCCAACAAAAGAACTATTGATACTTCTATTCCTCAACATATTAAGGCATCCACTTAAAATGTCAATGTGTTTATAAAATATACTACTTTGTAAAATCCATCCTAGTCTAGAATACCAGGCTACCAACCATTCATATAGAATAAAATATAACATATATCAACGTTTATCACAGTTGAAGATTAGAATGAATATTCTGGCTAAAAGAACCTACAAATTACAGGTATGATAACTGATAAGAGACTGACTCGAAATAAAGTACAAGAAATACGAACCTTGGCTATAAAAAAAATATAAAGAAGAGATACAATAAAAACCATACCTTGCATTAATATGCCAACTACTTTAAATTTCGAGCACATAATATAATATTTTGAGGAAATGATGTATACATATGTTGTAAGGTGTAATATAAGTGGTGTACTTGCCTTGGGACGCCATAAGCATTATTTTGATCGCATTTCATGCGGTGAAATAATGCATCACAAGCTGCGATTTTTTTTTTGAACAATGGCTACAAGCAACATACCAGAGGCTGTTGTTTCTAAAACCAAAGTGATTGTCCCTTTGATCCAAATAGGGGTTGCCTGTTAGTGTTTATGGTTTACACAAAGTAGAATGCGTAAATCACGCAAACTTGTAAAGGATTAAAAGTAATTTATATTTTGGTATAAATATTTTTTTGTGAGTTATCTCATATCTTGTCAATGTTTTTTACAGTATAAATGGTTATTTTAAAAAAACATGTGAGGCAGGCATTGGAATGAAAGAATGATTTATTAGTAACATACTTGAGGAATGATAGTAAGGACTTTAGCTATTGTAGTAAGTGTTTCATCAGGATTGGCAAGATGGACTGCAACATTCAAGTACTCTCGACCAACCTTTACGGCATCAAGGGTGAATTTGTTGTCAATAACCCTACACAGGTTGATCTTAATCAGTTACATGTTAAATGGTATGAACTGAGTGTGTGGATGTAATTGTGATTTTATTTACAGTGAAGGTAGAGATTACCATTGCTTCAATTCTGCAACCCGAGGTACATCAGAATTGAGAGTGATGGTTGAATGAGACTTTGAGGTTAAAGATATTCCTATGTAGTAAGAGCAAAATTAGTACTCAGTGCAAATATGTAATATACGGTATAGGGATGATAATAGTATCTTTAAAGTGAGTAGCCTTAATGTCTTAAAGGCTTATTATACAATACCTTTTTTCCTTTAGTTCGTCAAAGATTTCGAATCCACTAGTTAGTGCCAGTTTATCCCAAAGTGTCAAAGTGTAGTTGTACTGGCCTTTAGTCGTTGTTGTGATTGATAAACTTCCAAAAGAAACTCAAAAGACTTCAAGAGGTGACCATTCAATTAAAGATTTTATTGTCGTTGATGAAGAGTGAGTATGACCTATCATTAATCTTGTTCTTAAAGTTAATCGCACTTTCAAGCACTCATATAAATAAACTTGCATATACTATTTTTTATAACATGTCAAGTAAGGATTTTTAACCTTGTAATAAATATTTCAATGTGTTCAGTGTGAGTGAGTGATCTTTGAGTATATAGGTAATGTTGCTTACATATTTCCTGGCCAGTTTTCATGTGTTGATATAGCTCACTAAATCTCGAGACCCTTCTATCCTCAAAACCTTCAACTTCATTTGCATCTTCGCAAAGTTGAATAGTTGTTCTACAATTAAGAACCTATGTGAAGCCATACCTGTTATCTGGCACTTTGAAAGTGTTTTGTGGCAGGCGGACATTGGCATTTGAGACGTAAGACGAATTGAGTTGCATCTTCGCAAGGTTGAATATTTGTTCTACCGTTAAGAACCCATGTGAAGCCATACCTGTTATCTGGCACTTTGAAGTGTTTTGTGGCAGATGGACATTGGCATTTTTGCTAGACGAATTGAGCTGCATTGTCATATCATACATTCCTACATCTTGATCAAATACATCGACTTGGACGCATATGCCTTGAGAAAATTTTAGACATCACAAATCACAAAACATACCATGTTTATTTAGTGATCAACTAGATGATAGAAATTTTAGACATCACAATCCATTAACATTCAAAGAATAGCTAATCAAAAACTCAAACCTCAGTAACTAACACCTTAATAAAAGTATATAAGTATTTACTCTGTATAAGTTTATTTTAGAAGTTTACTTTGAGCAGTAAAATAAGTTAATAAGTTTACTTTGTATAAGTACCCAAATAGTTTTAAATATATACTTTCCTAAACATCTAAGCGCTTGCCTTTGTAACTACTATTTTCGGTTCGATTGTAACTCTATTATAGTTCCTATACTTTAAGAATTTGCCTTTGTAATGGCAATCTTTTTTCATTAACCAACACATGCACAAGCCAATCAAATCTCTATTTCAATGGTAAAAATTCGTAGATATATCCTCTCCCAATTTCAATGGCAATATTTTTTCATTAACCAACAGCATGCTTTTATCATTATAAAAGTTGGAATTTATCCCCTAGTTGACATAATGTGCATTAAGGGAACTACAACTTTAAACTTACTTTAGAAGCACACACGTCTCAGTCTAATGATCTGCGAGCCAATCTGATTTTGATGAACAAGATAAAATTTTGGCAGATAGGTATCTGCACAAAAGTATCGATGCACCAACATTGTATTACAGTAAGCTATCCTTAAAAAAATGTAAATACCTATTTTTCATGCTGCGAACAATCTCACATGCATGCACATTTACTTTCGGAGGTCCTAACTATTACTTTCAAAGGTCCTAAAAGGTCTGTTATTTAATCCTTTATTTATATTCTTATCACTAAAGCGTGTATCCCAAAAGTATAAGAGGCATCTCCATTTCTAACATTTATAATACCACTCTAGCAATTCAAAACATGCCCCTCAATTGGGCCGTCCTGTTTTCATATAATTTATCACAATGGGTTGTGACAGAATCATATTGAAGAACTTATTTGTGGCGATAAAGAGCTGAGGTTTTTTTTAATCATATTTGGAATTTTATCGATTCAGGACCCGAAAGATAGATGAATTATCAATTCGGGACCTGAAAGATGAAATGTATCAGTATAGGACCTGAATGATGGAAAACTATCAATCTGGGACCTAACATTTCATAGGTTTGGATTTATTTAATTTTTTATTAACTCCATTAATAATTTTTGATAAAGTATTCTTCACAAAAGTTTATTAGTTCAATAAAACTAAATAATATTTAAAAGTTTCAAAAATAAAAAAATCAATAAAATTCATGATAACTTAGGTCCTAGATTGATAATTTTCAATCATTCGGGTCCTAAATTGATAGTTATTCATCATCTGGGTCCTATATTGATACATTTCATCTTTCAGGTCCCGGATTGATAATTCATCTATCTTTGGGGTCCTGAATTGATAAAATTCCATCATATTTAGGTACTTTTAATATGAACAATTTTTTGCAACTTAATTTAAACAGTGGAAAATTCAGGCAAAAAAGGGAAAACTACCCGGTTTTATGAAAAGACCTGGAACTATGTTTAAATAAGCAAGTGTTGTATAACTTTGACAAGGAAGGGGGAAATTGTAACAATTTTAGGGGTAAGAAGAGTCTTATTAGTATTAGGACAAGCACTTGTATTTTTCTAATAGTTTAATATAACAATTATGAGCATTGTAACTAATAGTGTCCATGGTAGAATGGAAAGAAGGGCCCAGGTATGAAAAATGCTCTGCAAAGGTCAGGTGTTTGAAACTTGACTTCAATTTTGTGATTGCCTTTTTAGTTTTTCCTACTTTACACAATTCTATTTAATTTTTATCTTGTTGAAAAGGTCTAAACTACATCAATATGATTCACCTATGATTCATAAAGTTTAACAATTACATTTTTGTACATAATATAAACTGATTTTTTTAATATACATGTGAATTCTAAATTTAACTTCATTCAAGTACATGCTTGATCCTTCCCTTAGTTGATTAATTTATTTATGAATATAATTTTGAACAAATTACAAATGCCATGTGATAAAATTATTTCTAACAAAGTGAAATTTATTTAAATATGATATCATAATGTTTTTATCCAGTTAATATTTTGCTATTTATAATATACTGTATACTTTTTTTTTCTTCATGTAATTAGTTTGTAACATGTGTGAGATAATGTCTACGGTAAGTTCGCCCCCACGACGATTTTTTCTAGATACTCCACTGCATGTATACTACTTTTAAATTTGGAAATGGAAGTTTCAATAAGAGTTTCAAGATATCATATTACTTTGGAAACTAGATAAAGGCAGTCCAAATTCTTTAATAGTAGGTATACTTTTCACCCACATTTTTTACTTCATTTTTATCAAGGTATCAAACTGGATGTACAGAATGGAGTCAAACACAAATGCCAAGCAAGTGTGATGAAAATCTAAGTGAACTTCAACAAATGGAACTGCAAAATTAAATTAGTCTAAAATGCAGTTCTCTTGCAAATTAAATTATTTGCAAGAGAACTGCAAGGTAGAAGTAAACAAAAGGATGACATCTCAAATAAGATTCATACCTTACGAATGTTATTATACAGAGAAATCGTGGTGCACAAAGCATTCCGTTGTACTCTAGCTCAACCATAAACTTGAAACCAAGCCAAAGCCAATATAATTGGAAGTGCCAGGTAATGAAGAAACCCATGGAAACAAATAAAGAGCCGTCTGATAAATTTGAAGAGCCCTGTTCAAGATATCAAATTGAGGCCCCACCTTCTCAACAATAGAATAGCAATTAAAATATAAAAGGAAAGAAAATATATGAAATATAAGCTATATTTGATCAATGACAACTCTTTTTCATAGAGTAAAAAATAGAGTACTTTAATCAACTAATAAAGGTCAATCTTCTAACCCTGAATGGAAATAGACTGGTTTAGTCTTATCAAACTCTGCCATATTTGCTTATCTAATCACATCTTTCGCATTTTCAATGATTAACATTTCATTTTAAGCAATTGAGAGGTGCTTGGTGGTTTCAAAAATTATCTCCAGAATCAACAAAATGTCAAAATATATTGCCTAATACGAGTAGAACATAATTCAGGTCTCAAAAATGAATTCCACAGAATCAACTACCTTCGTAAGATAGTATATAGTCAAACATTAATATATGATCAATTATTCAAAGGTTCACACTGTTATGAAATTTTACACTAATCAGCGATCTAAAATCTGAAATTTAACAATGATCAATAATCAAGTAAATTAAATTTAAAATAAAATAAAACGGGAAACCGCTATGAAAGCTTGCTGACCAATAATCCATTAATGGTTAATCAAACTGGAAAACTTCTGAAAGCCCAATGAATTGATGAAGAAGCCGATGAAGAAAATTAGAAAAGTACAAACCATATTGAACGGCTGAAAGCCTGAAGCAGGAAGACCGCTGCAACGACTGGACGATTGGGATGAAATACAAAGAATCGAAACCGAATAGAGGCAAGCTGAGAGAGTGAGAGGCAAGAGGGAAGAGAAGAGAGATGCGCCGGCCGCCGTGAGACTGTGAGTGGACGGAGCGAGGAAAGGGGGTGTATAACACAGAAAAGAAGCTGTGGCCTGTGGCTTAAAAGGAAATAAAAGGAAGAGCTACCAAATTAGTACTCCAATTATGTTCAAAAATTCATTGAGATATTATCCAAAATGGGACTAAAAAGGTTTGGAAATTCCAAAATAGGACTTTCATGTTTTATTCTCAAAATAGGACTACTTACTGTCATGTTTTGGCAGTACCAGACTTCAAACATGGCAGTATTTTCCAAATTTGGCAGTAATTAGTCCTATTTTGGGAATAAAAACATGACAGTCCTATTTTGGAATTTTCAAATTTTTTTAGTCCCATTTCGGGAACTTTCCCAAATTCATTCGACTGTCTTCTCATCAATTAAATTTTTAGTTGAAATTTGGTATGAGTAAACTAGACTTAATGAATAAGATGCTCAAAAAATTTCTATCAAAAAATTCTATCAGAATCGCCCCAAATGAATACGGCCGGACAGAGCCTCCTATATAAGAGGTGATTTGCACTTTTTATATAAGTTCGAGGGCTTATTTATTTAAGAAGGTGATTTTGATTTTGGAAATTGTCCCCCAAAATTGGGTAAATTATACCGTACAGACAGCTGTACGGTGAGCACCGTACAGTCGTACGTTTTTGTGATTAAATCTCTATCCCGGCTAGCAACTCATCGCAGACGGCATTCCGATTCTGTACTGACGTTCGATCACTGCCTTTCCCCTTCACGTGCCGGCTTTCCCCTTCACGTGCCGGGAAGGAGCTTGAGAAACCATTCTGTATTCCTCAATTGAAATCACAGCTCCGAATGAACAAATTGAAGCAATTTAAAGCAGCCACCGATATAGAGCATGGGCATCCATCTTTCTCAGCCATCTCAAGAAAAAAAACTCAAGCAATCACATCACAATCATGGAGGTAACCATCAAAATTTTCACTTCTAGAGATTTATCTCTAAATAATTGAATACCGATCTAATTTAATTCAAAATTAAGAGCTCGATTCATTGAGTTTTGTGTTTATGTTGCAGGAGTCATGGGGATGACATGATGGATTTGATCACGTTTATGAATATTCAACAAACTAGAAATGAGTTTTATGTTATCCCGTTAAGTATTTTTTACCCAACGTTACCCGTTGGGTATTTTTTACCCGCGGGTAACGGTTTTCCCGCGGGTAACGGTTTCCCCGTGGGTAACCGTTTTATTAAAAGATAATTTTTTCTTCTTCAAAATTAGTATAAATCCTAAAATGATGATCATTGACCACCTAAATTAAAAAGAATCAAAATTAAATAGCACCACAGATAAAGTTGTTTAAAACTTTACAAATACTAACAATTGTTTGAACCTAATGGTAAGAAATTCTCAAATTATATATGTCTGGATTCAAAATTATGAATTTCTTACCACATTAACATCAAAAGATTAAGTCTAGTCTCGATAGTAAAATCTAAATATGAATCCCAAAAACATTTAACTTCCAAAAATTCTAGTCATATCCCACCTACATTCAACATCTAAATTTAAGAACACTAATGTATACAAGTAACATAATGATTCCCATTTTTCCAGTAAAATATTACTAATAAAAAATATATGAACATAAATGTGACTATAAGTTACCATGAGTAAGTTTTATAGTCACTACGATATAATATTTGAATAAAATTATAAACACTAAAGTTACTAGAGTCGCATTTTTGTCCACAACTTTTATTTTGATTACAGGGTTGGAATTATTTCTAAAAAAGGTACTTCTAATGCTATGATTTTGGTATTCTTGTAGTTACTGATTTATAAATCTCATAATTTAAATTTAAAACTTGATATAAATTAGAGCAACCAATCAAAATTAATCTTATCATCCAATACACCTCTACAAAATTATTAGCAATTACATAAATTAAAGCAAGATAGAGTAATGTTTCGCAATATTTGGACATTAAAGTCGTACGTGAGTTTTATGAAAGTTATTGGGTGAAATATTAAGAGAGCTACAATGTGGAAAATGCGTAGAGAAAATCACGAAAATCAAATAATCAATATGGGAAGAAAATAAATCTTATAGAAGTCAACAAAGGAAGGATGATGAATGATATTGAAAATTCAAAATCTAAAAGAGTGAACCTTTGAGCACCAACTCCTTAAAATTGCAAAGGATAGCCGATTAGTTGAATATTGTTTCAAAGTATTAGAGGGAGTAAGTGTCATATACTAATGCACTACTATTCATATATGCTTAATATATTAAATAATAAATACTTCGTACATAAACTATTAAAATATATAAGTTAATTGTGCGGGTCGGGTAATGGTGCGGGTAACCGTATCCAAATTAAACGGGGCGGGTAACGGGGCGGGTAGGTATAAACCCATAACCGCCCCATTACCCGTTTACATAAATCGGGTATTCCCGGCCCCGTACCCGTTACCCAGTCAAAGCAGTTTTTCCCGTTTTGACCGGTTCGGTTCGGTGCGGGTATCCATCGGGTCGGGTTAAATTGCCATCCCCGAACATATTACATACTAGTACTGTTTTCGAATTCTCAAATATTTTTAAGGAGTATCTGAAAATGCTTTTTCTTTAGGGAAAACTGTCAAATAGGTCCTCGAACTTTCATAACAAGGTCAATTAAGTCCTTCTATAGGAGGTTCTGTCCAGCCGTCGCGATTTGGGGCAGTTCCCGGTGGAATTTTTTAATGAAATTTTTTGAGCATCTTATTCACCAAGTCTAGCTTACTCATACTAAATTTCAGCTAAACATTCAATCGGGAGCGCATTCAAATTAATTCTTGAAGATAACTGCGCATTTTTGCGTTCTCGAATTAATTTGAATGCGCTCCCGATTAAATTTTTAGCTGAAATTTGGTATGAGTAAACTAGACTTGATGAATAAGTTGCTCAAAAATTTTCATCAAAAAATTCGACCGAGAACCGCCCCAAATCGCGATGAGCGGACAGAGTCTCCTATAGAAGGACTTAATTGACTTTTTTATGAAAGTTCGAGGACCTATTTGACAGTTTTCCCTTTTCTGATCTTTAAACAATCACTTTTTAAAATGGTTTGAAAAAAAGTGCTTAATAGTAAAAGTTGGTAATGTCTGAATAAAAATTGATTTTGAAAAGTAAAAGTAGTATCGTTTGATAAAATATGTGTTTTTTGTATAATAGAAAAAGTAAAAAACAGATTCTAACTTTTAGGCTTTAAGTATTTTATTTAAACAGAGTTGTCACTAGAAAACACTTTTTCAGTTTTTTGAAGCAAAAAGCTCAAAATCACTTATTTGTAAGTTTTTGCAAACATATTGTTAGTCCAAAATAGGATGCTCGTAGGCTTTTAGGAAAGCCATTATAGACACTCAAGCAGGAAAATAGAAAGTACTACGAAAAGGGAAAGTGCTCAGGAGATTTAGTTGCCAAGGATAACGTGTCTGTATTTGAATCACGACTTGCCTTTTATAGGCTGTTTACAAATGGTAACTGCCGAATAATAATGGCTAAATTAATTACATCATTAATACGGAATTAAATACATAATTAATAGCGCATTCATTGTTGGCTGTTACTCTTCCTGGCTGGCTGGCGGGTCGGCATGGCTGGTCGGTTGGACGCTTGAGCCCCTTGGACGGCAGGCTTGGAAGGCACCCCCCCTGCTGGGCCAGAGGCAAGCTCCCTGTTGGGCTAGAGGCAGGCTCCCCGCTGGGCTGGAGGCAGGCTCCTGGCTAGGTTGGAAGGCAGGCTTCCGGTTGGGCTAGTAGGCAGGCCATCTTAGGCCTCCACTCAGTTGGACCTCCGCTCCTTGATGAGCTTGATTAGTAAGGCCGGCTTGAGATCTGGATTGCTGGGTCCGCTGGTTGGGCCTGTTGATCCAAGTTCGGGGCCTGGGCCAACTAGGCATTGGGCCTAGTCCCATAACCCTATCACGAGTCCCCCACTTCCTTAGTCAAGTAGTAGACACGGCTAAAAGGGAGTAGTCCAAGTCAGCTGCCAATGTAAGGAATACTCACACACCAGGGAGCAATAATTGTGGACTCTGTCAATCCAACAATTTAGGGAGATTTCCCATTTTTTTCTTTGCTTTTCTTTTCTTTCACATACTAAGGAGCTAGCAGCCGGGCGGCCGGGTTGGCGGTCAGGCGGCCGGGCGGCCGAGCTAGCGACCAGGCGGCCGGGCTGGCAACCGGGCGATCGGGCGTCCGGGCGGCCGGGCGGCCGGGCGGCATGGCGGCCGGGGGGCTAGGCGGTCGCCTCGGGCGGCAGGGGCCGGGCAGCAAGGTGGCCGGGCGGCCGGGCGGCAAGGCGACCGGGCGGTCAGGCGGCCAGACGGCTTGGCAGGGTAATGGCTCCTGTACTGTGAGAAGCTTTACGGCCGAAAGCAACCAGCTGACGTCCTTCCTTGTCTTTCATGTTGTCCGGTGAGCCTCGGATCCGACAGGCTGTAGGTCGGTACCGCTGGTCAGCGGCGCAACTTCCCAGATCGGTGGATGTACCTCTAGTCAGCCAGACAGGTTGGCTACGGATCCCTAAAGTTGGATGACTGTGAGTAACCTTTTGCTGTTTGGTTCCCTCTGAAGCCAATGACCGAATTTAGACATCAAACAGTCTGATGTTGCTAATCGACTAACCATCCTTGAGGACGACAGCTAATTGTGATATGGCAGCCCCGTATCCAAGTCGGCCATGTTGAGAAGAATCCCCTCGTGGGATGGCTGAAAACAGGTTGCTCCTAAAATTCCCAAATCATGAGTGATGAGATGAGTGTGAACTGTAGACCTCAACTCGGTGTCTTCCACTACTTGTTGCCCACGTGGATCAATGTGTCGGATGACCTCCATGGGCTGTGAGTTAGCACTTATGATGGCAGCGACTAAGGGTCGACGGAAACCTCGAGTTCGGCAGGCACATGGGCATCTTGTACTGGTGATGGGTCGGTTTGCCACTCCCCCAAGATGAGTCGGTAGTGGTGATTCAACTGATCAGCAGATTATCATTGACTTGATTCTTGTGATTTTCTGACGATGGTTTGTCATTGTTTTGCAGGGT